CCCCCCCCTGCATATTATGAACAGGGGTTCAGAGTCTGGTCGACGAGAAAGAGAGAAAAATTCATTTTGAGCGCGTTGCGCTTGTTATATTGGTAATTTCTTGTTTTTTTCTCCTCGTCTCTCTTTCGCTCTCCTTGACGAGCTTCGGAGCGCATACAAGACAGCTGATTCTCTCTCTCTCTCTCTCTCTCTCTCTGTCTCGAACGACGACATGGGTGGCTCGAAGGCGTCAAGTGAGCTTTATGAATTTTTAATATACAACGCATTATACGCCGGCGTGTACACATCACGATTTATTTTCTCTCTCTTTTTCCTCGAGGATTAATACGATAAGCGATTAAGCGAAAGTGTAAACGGTATATAGGAAATCTCACCTGGCTCGTGTACCGAGGCTGCCTCGCCTCTTGTCCTCCACGCAGTAGTCCGGGCTCTTGCTCGTGTACAGCAGATTGTTGTGATGATAGAGGGGCGGCAGTCGGCCGCTCGAGCTCGGCCTCACCTCGAGCGCCGTGGCGTAGCGTCGCAGCAGTCGGGCCCCCGCGGCCGCCGGGCTCGCCGAGCCGAGGCCGCGCCAGCAGGTGCGTACGCTGCAGGAGCCCGAGACGCCGTGGCACTTGCACTCGAGCGAGAGCGACTGCTCGACGGCGCGCCGGCCCGCCCGATTGTTGTGCATGTTGACGGCGTGTATGAACTTGGCCTGGGCGCCGGCGCCGGGCCCCGGACCCGCCGCCTGGAGGAAGCGCTTGGCCATGCGCGAGGCCGAGCGCACGTCGTCGCCGCAGCCGCCCCACTTGAAGGCGCTGCGCGTCGAGCTCGTCGGGCCGAGGGCCACCGCCGCTCCGGGACCACCGGTAACACCACCGGCGGCAGCAGCGGCGTTGTTATTGGTATTGGCGACGACGCCACCGGCGGCCGGGCCGAAGGGCATCGTCGTCTGGACGAGGGCGGCGGTCACGGCGGGTGGCTCGCGACGCGGCGGCGTGGCGCACGAGCACGAGGCCAGACTGCCCAGGGCGCAGCCGCGCGCCAGACGCCAGACCGCCGCGGCGGCCGACATCGCGTAGACGAACGCCTGCTCCTTCGTGCCTGCAATCACGCGAGAACGATCATGAAGGAATTTGTTACTGCTCGCGGACGAGTTCGTTGAATCGGGAGAGAGTTTGTAATTTCAACATTTGGATAGGATGTTTAAATATTTCATTGATGGTTGACTTGTACCATTATTTTTACTTTGCTACTTGCAGATTTACAGGAATAAAGGTACTCGCCATCTAGTGGTAAAAGCTCAAAATTGTGTTATCGTATTCGATGTGGTTGTAATAAAGTGGTCTAAATTTTTTGAAATAATCAAATGGTCATTTTTTGATCATTAGAGCATTATTTGCGTTTAGAATATCTATCAGGGATACTGTAAAATTGATACCGGTATTAAACTTTTAGTACTGGTATTGAGAGTTGCTATCTTTAAAGCGCGACATGTCAAAGTAAAATTTTTTAGATCTTTCAGTCCGAATGCAAATTTATTAGATTTTTTCACTTAAAAATTAAGACAAAATTTTTATAATTAATATGAGTAAATTCAAGATCAGTATCCTAAGAAATTAATAAGCTAATCAGGATATTTTGAAACTTTAATAATTAGATGAAATTATGAAAAGTTACGTGTGATTAGAATTTTCACGACTTTTTCGTGATACTAATACTTTTGATTTCACACGCATTCATGAGAAATAAAATTAATCTCAAAATTCGTCAACAATTCGATCGTCCTTACGAAGACAATCTCACATAGTAGTGCGGTTAAAAAAATCCCTCTTAACATTTTTTGGATAAGAAAATCTCTCCGAAAGATTCTTCGAAGAGAAATTTTCTTGAACGCATTTTCAAAAGAAAGATTTTCTTCTCCGCATTTTCGAAAGAGAGATTTTTTTATGTCTTAGAGATAGTCTTCGTAGGAACGATCGAATTATCTATAACTCCCGCCTCAATTTAACACAGCAAATAATTTCTTTCAAAATTCACGATACTACCCTCAACGAGAATCTCGTTCAATCCCACAAAACAAACGAATAAATATTATTGATAAATAAAATAATGTACATCGTACAACGACGCACACGCATGCACTTACCGGTCAGCAGCTCGGGGGTGAAATCGGGCGCGCGCTCGATGCTGCTGCAGTTCCAGAGCTGATGCCTGAAGGCGTACTGGCAGACCGAGGAGGCGTCGCGGGCCGCCTGCACCAGGTTGCGCATGATCTCGGGACTGGCGCGGCAGGCGCGCACCTGCTTGCGCTCGAGCAGGCCCGAGGTGCGGGCGCCCGAGCACGCCTCGCTCGTCCACTCGAAGCCGTCGCTGGCTCGGCCCAGTGCTCTGTTTTCATCATCGATGATATATGCAAACACAAAAAAGAGAGAGAGAGGGTGAGTGCGAAGGGGGAGGAAAGACGATTTAATTATGATAAATGCACGAGGGGGCTGCTTTCGAGGATATTATATGAATCATTAATTCGCGACTCCTTTTCTCTTAACGTGCGCGTGGAAACGTCATAACGGCATCGTCTTCCGAAACTTCTGTCGCGCGCGCCCGTAAGATCCCGTTTTGATTTACGATCCATCCCTCGAACTTTCGAGCTCTTTTACTGCAAGGCCTGCGCGAAATACGTCAAACTTGGTCCCCATCATCGTCGTCGTACTTATATACACAAGCTCGATTCGTTGCGCCGAAAAACTTTTCTTCCGTAAATGCGTGTATATAATATGGAAGCTACTCGCAAATAAAATGTGCGCAGCGCGATTCCATTCCTGTCAGTCTCGCGGAGTCAACGGATATAATTCAAGCGTGACGCCTTTTTCTTCTCTCTCTCTTTTTTTTTTTGTTTTGTCTCGCTTATACGTACCGCCGCACGCAGCCGTGACGACGACGTCGCAGAGATTTTTCCGTTAAGTGCCCGCAGTGATATTGTCTGTCGGATATACTTTCCGACGTGTTTATACGTAACGACGACGATCTCCACGCGGCGGCAACGCTGCTCATCTCTCTTGACACTTTTGTCGTCCTTGTGTCATCGTCGTTTGTTGAAATGTTGCCTCGCGCGCATATATACACAGCGTATACATATCTCCGATATATACGCGACGGTATATACGCATCGTCGTTCCGCATCATACTCAAACTCTGCCTCGCTCGTATACGTATACGGCATATATGTGAAATTGTTCATTTGCAAAATGGACACAACGACGAAGGAAAAAAGAAAATAAAAAAGGATCGAGGACGAAATTCCTCTCTCTCCGCGCGCAAAACCGCAAACTTTTTACGCTTTCTTCTCTCTCTCTCTCTCTAGATGGCACGTATCGAGTTACGTATTATTACAAGGGCATTGTATATAATATGCAACGTCCGCGCTATGTATCTGCGAGGGCGTTAGCCGTGAAATCTGCTCTCTCTCTCTCTCTCGCTTACGCGCGCAGCTGCTAATACGCGCGCGCAGGGCAAGAGTTTATCCTGTCAGAATCCTGAGTGATTTATTTTCGCCCGCGCGCCAGATATTATTATATTCATTTACCGATCCTTTTATACAGGGGGTTGCTCTTGCTCTACCTAAAATTGCCCGAGATATACACGATGTGATTTTGACGATGAATAATTCACTCGAAAAATATTTTTACACGCGTGCGCATTATCGAGCCGTACTGCGGGGGATAAATATTTATTCGAATAACTCAAAAAATCGTATCATTAGCTCGTCGAAGATCCGAACGCGGCTGGTATTAGAAATGAATCATTTTTTTTTAATGCTGCATCATCGCTTCATGTGTATAATACGTCGTGTATTTATACCGCAGACGAGCGCGTGGCATATAAGGAGTATTTTTACAAGACATTTTTGAGTGAGGCGCGAGAAACGATTTCCATACGCTACTGCGCTTCGTGCCGATCGTATAACGTTGGCAGTCGTGAGCTTTTGTGCTTCTATACGTATGCGTATTAAGCATCGCACGCGTGTGCGTATGTGTGTGAGTTGCGGTCTCGAGGTGATTTACCTTTACGAGCTCTCGGCGCGATCGCGGCGTATGGGCTTATAAACGTACTTTTCTCACGAACGGAGGGCCCTACGCCGATTTATATGTACACACTATATATACGTGCACGTGCATCGATGCTGCTGCTGATGATGATGATGATGATGATGCCCTTTCTCCATTATAATGAACTGCGTGCAATTGCGTTTAAAGGCCCTGCGCCGAAGTTTACCGCACTGCCGCTGCCGCCGCGTTAACGATCGTGTGCTTTTGCTTTTAATTTGAATTTATACGCGTAGAGACACACGTGAGGCAGCGGGGGATCATATACTCTGCATCAATTATTTTTTTTTTTTTTTATCGTTTTTCGCGTCTCGATCGCTCGCACGATTCGCGTGGCCCGCGAGTCGAAATTTTCCAAAAACGTATCATTTTTTCGAGATCATTGAAACGAATTCACGAGTATGATTTAATGCATTGCACGACTTAACGGGCACAACATGCGAGGTCTTGCGGATTAAGACTTCGTACGAGGCTGTCAGTTTGATTAATCGAAAGTTATTACGGATATTTGCTCGTCGATTAATGATTTAAATTCCATGGTTTTTTTCGAGAGGGGGCCGAGATAACGATAATATAATTGATTAACCATTTCACCATAGCAGAGAGCATCTTACATTTTTATGATTTTGTTTTAAATTCCGATACTCGAATGTCATTAAATTTTTTTAATTAGCTCATTCTTGCGTGCTTATAGCGATGGCAGAAGATATTGATAAAAAAAACATCTCGTTGACAAGAGGTATATACGGTTAAATTACGGATGTACCTATCCAGCGTAATGATAAAAGTTGTCGTCAGATTATCGAGAAGAAATGAAACATTCATGGAGGATCGAGGTCGAGATGTATAGGAAAAATTCCTAAATTGGGTAAATAAATTTTAATTTTTGCGAATTATATGCCAAGAATTAATCGATATTAAAGATAAAACAAGTAAAATTTCGAAGACTTACTGATTCGAGGCACATATTTTGTTACATTTGCAGAATTGTTATATCCACGATTTTCTTATAAAAGATTGCCAGTAGCGAAACCGAACTGCTTAGATTAATTTTATCGAGATTTCTTTCATCGTATGAGAAAGCAAAGACGATTTCAAGCTATCTTTGCTTACACCAAAAAAGCAGAGCACTTATCATATTGAATATTCTCGGTCCGAAGCGTTTGCAAAAAATAATTTATAATAAAATGTTCGTTCGAGTCGAGTCTTGTGCTTGCCGCCACCGCCACGCAGTAAACGATCGTAAATTTCTCTCAACGCATATTATAGTGACAAAGCTCGGACGAGCGCCTTGCATAACGTCACATTGTCTTGCGCGGAAGCAGCAAAGATGATCGTTAAAAAAATTTTAATAGATGCAAAAATGTAAGCTATTCATTAGACATGAGATATACGGTGTCATTTATTTTAGTTTTGCTTTCTTAATATTTAAGTAACTTCGAAATTTCACAACACGATTTGTAAATATTCTATTAAATTGAATTCAAAGCTGTGCTCGTCCTGTTGTTTACGTTGCGCGTGGTATGCATGACCTCCGCGTGTTTATCAGCAGCGCGGTATTCAGGAGGGCTGCATTGAACTGGTCGAGCCTAAGCCGGTGCTCTCTGCAGACGCAGTTTTTCAAACTGTGACGAGCAGTCTTTGCAATTTTCTCCGTCTTACAGTTAGTGTGATGTGTAAAATCGACACTGTGAGGTTGATTTTGAGCGAAGCTTGTTCTTTTTTTGGTGAAAGATGGAATTGAGTGATGCGCTTAATTGTGGTGTCAGGTAATTTTTGTTTTATGAGAATGAAATTATGAAAATAATTCAACAAAATGCTTGATCTGATTCGGGGTTATTTCAGAGTGAAAGATGAACATAGTGATATGTCGCTGATCGAGGATAATTCGGACGTAACTGATGAGAAACCAGATCTCAAAAACTTCCAACTCTTGCCATTACTTAAACAAAAATCAGTAAGTGTTGATAATTATAAGTCTCTCATATTGTAGTTGTTTTTCAATGAGATGTCTTACACTTATCTTTACTTTTTCAACAGACCCACACGCTTCGAAATTGTGACAAAAATTATGAAAGCGATCTTGATGACAAAATGAAAATAGTTTTTGAATGTCAAGATGTGAAGCCCAACATTAATTTATCAAAAGTTAAAAAATCTGACAATGATTTTCAAAATCACTTGCGGAATGTCAAAGATATCGATGGTAATACAACTCAAGACAACTTTAAAATAAAACCCGTGGGTGAAGTTAAACAAGAATTTGTTAATAATGTGGAGGAAGAATCAAATTTGAAGTTCGACCGTAAATTTGTTGAACAGAATAAAAAGAGAAGAATTACAAAAAAACCCAAGAAAGATCATAACCTCAAAAAACACACCAATCCGGCTCATCGCGATACCTTGCCTACTTGTGGTATATGCGGAAAGAAGAGCACAACAAAGGGTAATCTCAAAAAACACATCGACTCGATGCACAGTGGTATCAAACATGAGTGTGATGTATGTGGCAAGACATTTTCATTAAAAAATAATCTTAAAGTCCACATTGATGCAGTGCATAATGGTATCAAGTATCCATGTGCTATTTGTGGGAAACATTTTTCAACAAAGAATTATCTAAAAAGACACATAAATTCGGTGCACAATAAAATAATTCATGCATGCGATACATGCGGAAAGAAATACTCACGCAAGGGTGATCTCAAGAAACACACCGACGTGGCGCACAATGGTGTCACTTTTGCATGTGATATTTGCAGAAAAAAATATGCATATTATTCCAGTCTTAAATACCACATTGATACGGTACATAATAAAATTATTCATGAATGTGATATTTGCGGAAAGAAGTACTCAAAGAAGAGGGATCTCAAGATACACATCGTTACGGTGCATAATGATGTTAGACATGCATGTGATATTTGCGGAAAAAAATACTCCCAGAAGAGGTGTCTCAAGAGACACATCGATGTGGCGCACAATGGTGTCACACATACTTGTGATATATGCAAAAAGAAATTCTCCACCAGAGGTAATCTAAAAATTCACATCGATTCGGTGCACAACGGTGTCACACATATTTGTGATATATGCAAAAAGAAATTCTCCACTCGCGGTAATCTAAAAATTCACATCGATTCGGTGCACAAGGGTGTCAGACATGCATGCGATATTTGTGGCACGACATTTTCACAAAAGAGTAAACTCAAAAACCACATTGAATCAGTCCATAATAATGTCAAACATGCATGCGACATATGTGAATTGAAATTCACCTTTAAGCGTAATCTCAAAGTTCACATCGATGCAGATCACAATGGTATCAGCCATGCATGCAATGTGTGCAAAAAAACGTTTAAACATAAGAATAATCTGACTAGGCACGTTCAATCAGCGCATAATCGTGTCAGACATTCACGTGATATTTGCGGAAAAAAATATACAATAAAGTGTAAACATAAAGCCCCCGTTAATTCAGTGCATCACTCACTCATTTCAACTTGATGAACAAATCAAATTTAATGTACATGTTCAGAACACTAATTTAAAATTTTCGATCAATTACAATAGTATCATAAATTTCTCCAATGTTATTTTATTATTATGTAAAAACAATGTTTCAGTTTTGAAAAAATCAATTAATTTTTTGAGAAAAATGTAGTACTTTATTAATTATAAAGCTCATAAAATGTTGAATTTCTGTAGATGTAGTGCGGTTTTTAGTCTATTCTGCTACCCAACAATTCAAAACCATTTTTCCTAATACATTTTTCTCGGCGTAGTTCAACATTCATAAAAATGATACCATACGAATGAAATTTTTTGGAACTCTAGTGTTTTTTTTTTTTTTTTTAATGTACTCTATATCTCAAAGCCAAAAAAAGAGTCAGAGTAAAGTTTCTGGGGTCTCAATGAAAAATTATCAAAGCCCATTACTGAATGAAAAAAATTTCAATCGCGATTTTAGCTTTAAATTTTAAGAATCTTTCGGGCAATCGTTCATCTACTATTTGGAAGTCCGTATCAATGTTACCCTCAATACAAGTGCATACGATCGTTCGACGTGCGTTGCGTATTATTACGTCTTGCATAGACGCAGGGATCAGCGATACAATCCAGGGACAGTAAAAAAAAAAACTAATAAAGAACAGAGGCAGCAAGAGCGAAAAGGAGAAGAAAAAGAAGAAGAAGAGCCCTATATACGTACGAAGGGATGAGCTCAAGATAATAAAGCTGCGGCCTGGCACGAAAGTATTTGATACGCTTGACATTTCCTCCTTTGTTATATAATACATCGCAATTCGCAAGTCAAGCACAGAAAGCGAGAGTGCAGAGAGCCCCGGACGAGCTAAAATTTTTTTTTCTTCCGAGGCCCTTATATGTATACGATCGTAATGGTCAGCTGAGGAGAATCGATCTTTTCACGCCTTACGTAATAATATTATATACGATACGAAGATCGCCCTCTGCGATAAAGTACATCTCTGCGTTCTATATACCGCACCGAAGCTTATAACGCTTTGTGCAATAAATGTGTATCAACGCGTATATATATTCCGATTGCATCCCGTTACTCGCGGCGCTTACATTATACGGTATCTCGAGCAGATAGTAAACGACTTATAGGCTGAGAGACGGCGGGGGAGGATAAATTTTCAACGACGTTTAAGCGTTAAACTTCTTACAGCCTACCCGTAAGACGCGAAGATTGAATAAATTAGAAGGTCCCCCCGGATCATCATCAACAAAGAGCGACGACGACGACGACGACGACGACGACGTTTATATACGCGTGAGTAGGAATGAGGAAATAGTTAGGGTAAACGCGCTCGTTAGATAATAAACGAGGTTTATCCCGCGCTCGCGCTTAATATCATGCGTGTACGCGTGAAAATTGCAGCCGCGGCTACACCAACGAGCGAGCTTTAATTCTCGATCTTCGCCGCTTTAATTTCCGAATTCTTGATCAATTTTCCTCGTCGTGGACCCAGGAGGACAAAAAACAGAGACATATACCCACGTACACGAACGGGAAGAAAAGAGAGAGAGAGAAAAAATGAGTAAATAAGCGCGTATATATATAGCTCGTGCGCTTTATAACAAAAGCTTTTCTTTTTTTTTTTTTTTACCACGTTTACGTAGAAAAGCATCTGCGCGCATTATACCGTGATGCGAGAGAAGAAAAAAGGGGTTGTACGCGCGTAGGACAAAAAGCTTAAACGCTTATAATGCACATTCGTATATAAGCACGCGAGCCAACGAGAGCGGCTTCGGCCAATAATTAGCGCTGTTATATCCGCGTTTTGCCGCCCGAGCTATAAACGAGTTTTTGAGCATTTGCAGCTTATACGCCGCGGCTGCCGCTGCTGCTGCACTCGTGTATACTTGCCACGATGATTATTATTATTATTATTATATGCACAAGAATGGAGGATGAATGAGAAGGATTATAACAATATAACGAGAGAGAAAGCGAAGAGCGAATATATTTATGTATTTCGCTCTTTTCGACGTACAGTAATATCCTAATAATGTTTTCTTCGTCTTTTTCAAAAAACGGAAATTCGAGGATAACGATCGAAAGTTAGCCGATGCGTGTCGAGTACTTAACTGTTGGTATTGGACCTATTTTTTTCTCCGCAAAAAAAAAACACATCCACGCGCGTATTCATCCTTTTCACCCATCGTCGGTCTGCTGCGCCTCCACACAAGCTTTTAGTTATAGGTACCTATATACTACGTATATTTCCTGTCTCATTGTCCGCGCGCGGCTTCTGTACAAACTGCGGCACTTTAATACAGCGGTAGTACCCCTTCGGTGCTGCTGCTTTTTTTTCTCTTCTTCTTCTTCGCGTTTTTATGAATGGTATTTATGCATACGTAATAACGTCCCGCAGCATCGCCTATACGGGCTACTTTTGCGTTTTACAGCAGCAGCGAGCGAGCGAGCGAGCGCGTGCAACGTATCCATTGTTCGTCTTTTTCAATACGTACGCACATATAAAAAACGAGCTGCTAATTTTCATATAATGCGTTTTATTATGCGTCCGTGTATACACATGGGCCGACGTGGCTAACGGTATTGCGGTACACCGCGTAGATGATACCGGCTTATGATGGAAATCCGAACGAGCCAGAATTTTTATAGCATAGCGAGTTCGTTTAGTTTTTTAGAGCTATATAAAGAATGCATTTTGAGTTGAACGAGCTCGCGAATAGATGCATCGTAACGTATGTGTGTATATCATTAAAAAAGCATCGACCTCTTGCCAAACTCATCCATTTCTCTTTCCGTCTCCTCGTTTTTTTCCTCGTTTGTTTAACATCGACGCAGGTTGGCGCGCGCGGCGGCAATTAATCATCGCGCGGATCTCCCGAAAGGTATATCGATACGCGAGCGCGAAATAGATACAATACGGTACGGCGCGGGTAGAAAGTTGATTTATACGCATTCCGTAAACCATGCAGAATTTCCGTTTCAACCCCCCCTCATCTCGCGTATCTCCTTCAACTCGCATACGTAATATCCGCACGATGAAGATGTTTATATTATACACGAGAGGCACTATAACTACTGCAGAGAGACGGATCGCATAACGTATATAAATGAATCGAGGCGAGTTTTAAAAATTTATAATTGAAACGTCGATGCCGATGCTCAACCTTTGAGTGCTGCGTACCACAGGCATTGCGATGTAACACGCAAGAGGTGGATCTCTCTCTGTGTTCGTGCGAGATGCTGCTTCATTATACCGCCTATACGTATATTATATACATCCGACAGAATTTCGTTCCTTTTTTTTTCCTTCGGTTTATCGGTATATATTTACGTGTGTACTCGAGGCACAGGCTTACGTGTGTACTTATAAAGCGCACACAGCCTATGCTACCGTGACGCGCGCGTAAGCTCGCGGCCGCGCCGAGCGTAATTGAAGACGTATGTACGCAAGTCGAGTACTACTATAGCTGCGCGCTTGCCGAAAAAAAGGACAATTATAATTGGCACGATGACTCGCGTCGTCGTATATACAGTAGGTATGTATTTCAATGCCGTATATATATACGCGTACTTACAGCCACTTGATGCACGTGCCCTCCTCGACGAGCATCAGCAGCAGCAGAAGCAGCGTAACAAGGACAATGAGAGCACTCGAGGGATTTCGCGGCATGGCGCAGACTGAGACTGCCGATGACGATCCTCGCATCTCGTTCCTGATCCGTGTGCGTTTTTTTTTTCTTTTTCTCGCGTGCACCGCTGTGTGTACGTGATCGCGTTCGCTCTCTCTGCGTGTGTATTACCAGCGGCCCTCGATCACATTTCACGCATCGAGAGATCGCGGGGCGTGTGGCTCTTTGCTCTTGTTCGAAAAGTCGAATGTCTGCTACGATATAATTTATATCGTTGCTCTTTTTTGTTCTTTGAGCGGCCGCACTATACGTGAGAGCTTTTCGATCCTTTGAAAAAAAAAACTGTGAAAATCACGTCGTGGATTACGAACGACGATGGTAACAGCAGCTCAGCCGGTGCCGCGGCAAATTCGGTCGCGCGACGCTGCCACGGCGGCGATCTCCTCGTGGATCTCCTCCAGCTCCATTGTCTCTCGATCCAACTGGATTAGCTTTTCTTTGATTTTTTTACACACACACCCGCACGCACACTCACGCACCCACTACTAATAATGCACACACGCACACAAGACGATAAAATTAAAAACTTCACTCGGATGCCCTTTCGACGTAGGTATAATCGGTATCGGCGCACGCACAGCCCAGTGATAAAGGCTCGTTATTAAAAATTATCGTCGCACTGCACACACTTCGCGTGATTCTAGTTGAAAAAAAAACTCGCCAACCAATATAGTACTACTTGACTCTCCGAGCGTTCGGGACCAAATGTTGCTCGCGCGCTCGCGTGGTTCTCTCTATATGGCAGTGCGCTTACAGGTGTCCGAGAGAACTGCACAGCTCGCGGCGAGATATATAGAGAAAGAAAGAGAGAGAGAGAGAGAGAGAAGCGAAACGCCCCCGGTTCGCGCAGCAGCACATATAAAGAGAAGGGAGAGAGAGAGAGAGAGAGAGATCCCTCTGCAAGCGCAGCAGCGGCAAGAAAGGGCGGACCCGAATATTACGCCGGCGTACACAGGCCTGCAGCGACGGTATATATGCAGAGAAAGAGAGCATATATATATCGCGGCCTGACAGAGAGCATAATATGTTTGACATGTTTTCGAGACGTGGGTATAGAAGAGAGAGAGAGAAGGGTGCACAAGCCTAGCATTTATTATAATTACAGGATATTTTTCTCTGATTTTAGCTGAAAAAAGAAAGGATGAATCCCCCGTTCAAATCTTTCTTTCTTTCTTTCTCTATATCTCTCAGATAGTTGCGGCCTTACAGTTTACACGAGACTGCAAACTTGAGCGCGCGCGCCTATAATCTTGCAATTTATTTTTCAATTTATTGGAGGGCATATACACAATACACATATAGGATCGTTAACGAGTTTGAACAAATACACACGTACACCGTGGCGTCGAAATTCAGAAAATTACTCCGAAGAATTTATTTCTCATAAAGCTGGTGTGGCACTCCGATACTGCATATCGATTTATCGCCTATTTTTTTTTGCTTCTTCCTCTTATATTTATTGTAAAAATTTCGGACGGTTGAAAAAAAAAAAAAAAATACCCGATGCAACCCCCTGCATGATAAATCGTCTTCTGTGTTTTTTTTTTTATCTCTCTGTTATCGGATATAATACGGGGAATTTTCGGCCCGAAAAAACGATCGACATTAGCCGAGCGCACCCCCGCGTGCGGGGGTGGCAGCGGCAACGACGACGATGTAAGCGCGCGCGGCGCATCGGTATTTAATCGAAAACTTTGCCCGCTCGCTGCCGAGCTTACAACGACGGCAGAGAGAGAGAGAGAGAGAGGATGGAGCAGCAGCATCATATTTTCGGATGGGGGGTAAGTCGCTTTTAATAGTCGAGTATCCCAGAATTTCGCATGCTATATAGCGTTTCGGAGCAGCAACAGCTGGCGTTATTTGTCTATATATTCGTCTACGTCGAGAGCATCGCTCTTTGCGCGCGCGGGCTCCTCTCATCATCATCCTGGCAGCAGCAGCAGCAGCAGCAGCAGCAGCACCGACAGCAGCAAGAGAGAGAGAGAGAGAGAGAGAGAGAGAGAGCTGCTAATATAATGGCAGGAAATTAGCCTTCTCTCTCTCTATCTCTCTTTCCCTGCGTATTATAATAGGTATTATGTATAGTCAAGGAGGGGAAGAGAGAGAGAGAGAAAAGTTAAGAGTGGAGGATTAATGATCCGCACGTCTATATACGTATTAAAGTATACAGCATCTCTCTCTCTCTCTCTCCGGCAATCTGTGTAATAACCTTGATTTCGATATATATATGCTGTATGTGTGTGTGTACGCGCGCGCGAGCAAAGGGTCTTTTTAGCCTATTGTTTCCCCCGCGCGCGATTTTTGCCTGAAAATTGCCGCGCGCTCGGCTCTCTCTCTCTCTCTCTCTCTCCGCACAACCCGCAGCCAGCCCGGGTTATACGAGCATTTTGTACGTATAGCTCGAGCAAAACTTTCTAATCCCTTTTTGCGCGCGAACAAAGGAGGCTCGTTTACGTACGCATATATCATACACGAAAATGTATATGCGATGTACGTAAAATCACGAGCTTATGCCGAAAAAGTGCCAAGTTTTACACACAACTTCATCCCGGCGTACGTATCGCGTTCGTGTCCATAAATCTGCTATCACGGTGTACTGCAAACTTATATATATGCACGATCGCTCGGCAGCTTTTCTAATTAACGATACTCGCGGCGGTGGTGTCGACGCTGGCTCGCGAGGCCCCGGTATAATTAACTCGCGATTTTTCAACTTTTTTTTCTGTTCATTACCCTCCTCCCCCGTTTACTTGGGCACGCGCGCCCGTGTACGTATTAATTGTCGGCATTAATTTACCTCCCTCCTCTCTTTCTCTCTTTTTTGCATTTCAGCAACGCGTCGACGCCGCGCGTTAACGTTTATTTATCGAGATTCATTAGTAATGTACCTCGAGGTGGATATATAATACGAAACGCAGCTCTCTCTCTCTCTCTCTCGTCTCGTCCGCGCCACGCTGTTATACTATACGTGCGATAATCGATGGGTAGTTTGCGTGTCGTGTATATACTCGTGCACATAATTATCGTGCATTAGTAGTAGTAGTAGTAGAAGTAAGTAGTAGTAGTGAAAAATTCGGGAAATGCATATGTGCAACCAGTGGCGAGTTAATGCAGCTCGCCAATCACGTCATAGCGGAGGGGGCGGCAAATTTTGGAATGAATATTAAAATTTATTATTATATATGAGTACCAAAATCTATTTAACCTCTGGATTTTTTGCCCTCTAACGGTAAATCGATGTTTCTTGTATCTAACTCGATGATGCCTGTCAGGAGTTTTTTTAGAAGTACTTAGTTTCAAAAGGCTAAAGAATTTCCAAAAGTAATCGTCATTGTGCCAGAATTTTAAATTGTTAACTTAATTGATAAATTGGTAACTTAATTGTAAACAACTTATGATCATTTACGATTTTCATATCTTCCCTTGACCTAATGATTATATTTGAAGTAAACACAAATTAGTTTGAACGTTGTCTTTCCCAATGAAACAAGCTTTAATACAAAAAGATAAATTTTACTTATTCAAATTAGACAACAAAATGGAGAAAAGTGATGCGAAATCCGAGAAACTCGTTCCTAAAGATAATTTAAGTGAACACAACATTGTTGTTTCAGACGAAAAAAGACACGTTTGTGATATTTGCCGAGAGGCATTTACTCTAGAATCGAGTATGATAATACACCGAGACACAACTCACAATAATAAAGAAAATTATGCATGTGACAAGTGCGAAATGAAATTTGAGTTTCGAAGTCATGTGAGTAGACATCAAATATCAGCACACAAAGTCCACAAAGATTTGGCATCCGACCAGTGTGAGAAGAAATTTATGAAAAAATCGAGTTTGATTAATCACCAAAAATTAGTACACAAAGATCGAAAAGATTTCTCATGTAACAAGTGCGAGAGGAAATTTGAAAATAAATCAACTTTACTCAAGCACAAAAAAATATTCCACGAAGTTTTCAAAGATTATTTGTGTGAAAAGTGCGCCAAAAGATTTGGAAATAAGCAGAGTTTGCTCGCGCACATAAAGACAGCCCATGAGCTTTGCAAAGATTACGACTTGAAAGTCTTCAAAAATTACGCATGCGACAAGTGCCAGAAGAAATTTGGACAAAAAATGAAATTGATTAGGCATCAAAGAACAGTCCACGAAGGTCGAAAAGATTACCTATGCAACAAGTGCGAGAAGAAATTTGGACAAAAATCGACATTACTTTTGCACCATAAGACAGTACACGAAAATCGTAAAGATTACACATGCGTCAACTGCAAAAAGTCATTTGGACATAAAAGTACATTAATTTCGCACCAAAATACAGTCCACGATGGTCGTAAGGACTACGCATGCGACAAGTGCGAGAAGAAATTTGCAAGACAACGCGATTTGATCGGGCATCAAAGAATAGTACATAAAGGTCAGAAAGATTTCGCGTGTGACAAGTGCGAAAAAAAATTTGGACAAAAAGTCCATTTAAATTGGCATGAAAAGGCAGTCCACGAAAAACTAAAAGATTATGCATGCGACGAGTGCCGGCAGAAATTTGGACGAAAATCGACTTTACTTTTGCACAAAAAGATAATACATGCAGGTCACAAAGAGTACGCTTGTGGAAAATGCGAGAAAAAATTTGGTCAAAAATCGAATTTATACCAACACCAAAGGACAATACACGAAGGTCGCAAAGATTACACATGTGAAAAGTGCGAAAAAAAATTTGCATTGAAATCAACATTATTGATGCACCAAAAGGTAGTCCATGAAGGTCGGAAAGACTACGCATGCGACAAATGCGAGAAAAAATTTGGACGTACATCAGATTTGTTGAGACATCAAAGGACAGTACACGAAGGTCAGAAAGATTATACATGTGACAAATGCGAGAAAAAATTTGGACGTACATCAGATTTGTTGAGGCATCAAAGGACAGTACACGAAGGTCAGAAAGATTATACATGTGACAAGTGCGAGAAGAAATTTGGAATTCAAAGCAATTTGATAAAACACCTTAAAACAGTCCACGAAAGTCGCAAAAATTATGTATGCGACAATTGCGAAAAGAAATTTGGACTAAAATCGACTTTACTTGTTCACCAAAAGATAGTACACGAAGGTCGGAAAGACTACGCATGCGACAAGTGCAAAAAAAAATTTGGACAAAAGGCACATTTGATTCGGCACCAAAGGACAGTATACGAAGGTCGTAAATATTACTTATGCAAGTAATGCAATATGAAATTTGTACTGAAATCGTATTTGCTTTTACACCAAAAGACAATCCATGAAGGTCGGAAAAATTACGAATGAGACAGTTGCGAGAAAAAATTTGAACATGAACTATCTCTTTTCTTATGTCACAATTGTAAGAAGAGATGATGGTCGACAATTTTAAATATTAGATTAGATAAATTTATTAGATACTTATACATATGTTTTTCCACTACTTCAATAAAAATTGTGCCGAAATGATTGTGCCTTAACCGAACCTCGGACGCTTAACTATATCATTACACCTTTGTAAACTGTTGTTGTAGTGATTTATTTTGAACCAATTTTCCAGTACAATTAATTCATTCAACTAGCTCATTTTTAGATGCCTAGTCCCTAGCTCCAATGCAACAATCAGAAGTTTTCTCCACGTCTTGTTCGAAACCATAAATGGGACGAGATAACTACTGTATTTGTGATAAATTATGCGTCATAATGTCGTGATTCTGTATTGATCAAACTGTCAATCAAATCATCAAGTCACATCAAAATTGATGTACTAGTGAAATATTTTAATAAATTTACCGACGGACACTGATTATTTCTCCTAAGACAGACGGTAATAGAAATAAGTTTTTACCGAAAAAAAATTGATTCAAACCAAAAAATGTTTTCTTCATTTCTTCAAATATCAGTAAAAGCTCTCACATTGTTTTATCCTTTCCTTGGTACTTTTATCAATCCAAAATATTATATCAATGCTCCTCGAACGGTGTGAGTGGCAAACGAAAGTTTGTTTAGGTGTTTTAACAAGAGTACGTTTATTCATTGGCTTTGCGACGACGATAAGAGATGAGCCGGATACTGGCAGTGACCGGCGCGATAGTCGCGCATCGACACCTCGCTGGAGATCCAGGGCTGCCACGTGCCGTTCAGGATCCTCGAGTCGTACGAGCACGGGTCCGACGGCGTGTTCGTCTGCGGCATCAGATGCTCGCGTTGCTGGTCGAGGTAAGCCTCCAGTTCTCGGACGATCTGTGCGGGTAAGAACAAAATACATCGAATGAAGCTTTCCATTTTCGTACTCCGCAATCAAAAACGATAACTTACTCTCGGCCGTTGCTTCGAGATGTCACGCGTCTCGCAGGGATCGCGCTCGAGATCGAACAGACAGACGCCCGAGCAGTCGAGTCGTTGTTGCGACGAGCCTCTGCACCTGCCACGGGCGTTCCTGCTGCTCTTGGCGCGCAGCCTCGCGATCTTGCTCGCCGACGGCCCTCGGACGTTGTCGTCGAGCAGTCCCCTGATGGCCCGGCCCGCCATGGACTCGAGCACCTCGTCGATCCGATAGGCCGGGTACGCGGGATCGTTGCCCGTGGCACCGACGAAGTCGCCTGTCGGGTCGTTACGAGCACCTTTGAGCAGTTTGTGCTTGCCAACGATGGCGGCCTCGGTCTTGGCCACCTCGTCGATGTTGAGCAGAGCTCGGCTCCTCCTGGATCTGGCGCCACGGCTGATCATCGGCCACTGATCGACGCCGTCCAGCTGGCTCGTCGGCAGGTCCTCCATGCGGCCGCCCGCCGCGGCGTACAGGCTCGGCAGCCAGTCGACCTCGTGCACGAGCTCGTCGCTGACGCGCGAGCGACTCTCGATCAGAGGCGAGTAGACGCAGGCCAGCCCGCGTACTCCGCCCTCCCACAGCGTGCCCTTGATCTGTAATAGCAATCGACGTTATATTATTTTTCGCTCGTATAAGCGATCCCTTGGAATTTCATGGACTGTGTAAAGTATACGTGCCCCGCGGAAGGGATGATTCGAGCCGGAATTGGCGTAGAGGCCGAAGGTGGGCGCCCCGTTGTCGCTGGCGAACACGATGATGCTGTTACCGAGCATGCCAGCCTCGGAGAGAGCCTTCACGACTCTGCCCACGGACTCGTCCATGGCTCTAATCATTCCGGCGTACTTGCGACGTTCCGCGTTCTCGATGTGACCGAACTCGGCTTCGACCTGCGCCCGGTCGCGCACCTCCAGCGGGTCGTCCTTGATGCTCGCGTGACCCGCCAGATGGGCGATCTCCAGGAACAGCGGTCGATCCACGGGCTCGTTCAGCGCGTGGGCTTTGATCGTCTCCTCGGCTTTCTCGGTGATCATGTCCGTGAAGTAGCCGCGCGGATAGGCGGCGCGCAGCTCGCTCTCGTCGTCGTCGTGCATGTCGTATCTCGTCACGTTCTGGAAATAAAAAAAAAACGAACGTAAGCACCAAACGAGTTTATAACGATACTCGAAATTCTTTCGGGACGTTAAGAAAAACACAATTATAATACGATTTTCAGCAGATCCGGCTCGCTGTACGTGTAATCGAAGTAATTGATGAATCCGTTGTAATAACCGTAGAACGAGTCGAAGCCTCGCCTCGCCGGGGTCAGGTCCTCCTGATAGTAGCCCAGATGCCACTTGCCCAGCAGCCGCGTCCTGTAGCCGAGTTCCCGAAAGTACTCCGGCATCAGCTTGGTGGCATTGTCGAGCGGCACCGCTCGCAGCTCGCCGGCGCTCATGGGGAAGCCCTGCATGCCCGAGCGGCTGGCGTAGCGGCCGGTCATCAGAGCGGTGCGCGACGGCGTGCAGATCGGATGTACGTAGTGGCGATCCAGGATGACGCCGTGATAGGCCAGCGCGTCGATGTTCGGCGTCGGGATCTCGTCCGAGCCGTGGAAGCTCACGTCGTTCCAGCCCTGATACATAAGTTGAAGTTTCGAGAGATTTTTTTCCGTTCACGCTGTTATTGTATTATTATCGTTTTACTCACGACATCGTCGGCTAGTATAAAGATGATGTGAGGCCGATGTTTCGAGGGAGCTGCTGGACTTTCCCGCGTCTGATCCCTCGACGAGGATATACCCAGGAACAGGGAGTAGATCAGAAACTTGAAGAAGTTCCACCAGACCATGATATGGTTTCTTTTTCTCTCAAAAAGATTACGTATACAAAAAAAAAGTCAGTACCTCGACTCGAAGTTTCGAATTAAAAAAAAAGAAGAAAAAACAGAGTCAATGTATCGTACGTAATATTATATTGCTCGTTAAATAAACGCGGTGTGCGCGCGCGCTTGCCACTCGAAACTCGAACGAGGACTGACAGCCGATTTGTGTATAATAGTAATCGACGCTTGCCTTGGCGTTCTCTCGGCTCTCTGCATAAAACTCGTTTTTATATATATCGTACGTACCGTGTGTATACGAGTTTAGAGGCGCACATTGTAAAACGTGCAAAAAAAAAAAAAAAACGAGAAGGAGGAAGAAGAAGTGTCTCTTATCAATTCATATACGCGAAACTTATATAGACATTATGTATTCGTTGAAAACTTTTGCCACTTTTTTTTTGTAGCATTAGTTACACATTGATATACACGCGCGAAGTGCGTTGATTTCTTCGATCGTATAAGACTTTTTTCAGCCGCGATAAGGTTTTGGAGCTTTGATGACACTCTGACTGCGCTTTAACGCGTCATTGATTATATCACGGCTCGTTCGAGCAATTATTTTAATGTTTTACGGCCTGTAACGATAATGAGCTTTAAAAAATGTATACATTTTTCGTGCAAATGAGACTCTCTTTATTCACGAACTCCTATACGTCAAATCACAACCAAGGCATCCACGTGCCGTTGAAGTACTTGGGATCGGCGTTGGGATCCAGCGGCACGTTCGTCTGCGGCACCAGGACTCTTCGATAGCCGTCGATGAATCGTTTCAAAGCTTCGACTTTCTGTAAAAAAAAAAAATTCAATTTAAAATTTTCTCCCTCCGCGCCAACACCTATACATAATACTACCTCGGGCATCTGGCCGGATAAATCACGCGTCTCGCAGGGATCGTTGGCGAGATCGAAGAGGCACGAGTCCTGGCAATTAGCGACGTCGATTATCCCCGTCGTCGGCGTTGGCGGGCGACACGCGACTCTCGCTCTGGCTCGCAACTCCCGGGCTCGGCTCGCCCGAGTTCTCGCGAATCCGTCAATTTGATTGATCGCGCGGGCCGCCTGGGAGCCCAGCAGCGCCTCGTCCAGGCTGTACGTCGGATAAGATTGATCGTCGCCGCTGTCGCCGAAAAATCTTCCCGTCGATTCGACGGCTCCTGTATTATTAAGTGCGTCATATTTTCAACTTGGTATACAGGGGGTTCGAGGGTCAAAAAAAGGCAAAATATAAAATTCAGTACGTCTCAGTAGCTTGTAGTTGTCGATTATCGCCGCCTCGGCGCCCGACTTCTCATCGATGTTCAGTAACACGGAGTTGCGTCGACGTCGAGCAGCAGCAGTTCCTGTATTATTTCTGCCGACGATCCAGCTCCACTGATCGAGGCCGTCGATGTTAATTAAATCCGCTGATGGATCACCGCCGGCAGCTGCGTAGAGAGTCGGCAGCCAGTCGACCACGTGCATCATCCGATCGTCGTCGTCGTCGCGCCTCATGGCTCGCGGCACGATCAGGGGTGAAAAGATGCAGGCTGCCGTGCGCACCCCACCCTCCCACAGTGTGTTTTTGACCTGCGCGTGCACACACGAGATTGACGAGTGCGTCAGTGGCAGTGGCACGAGCAGTTATACCCCCCACGACAGGCGGAGATGTATATATTTATTAAAAAAAATCAATATGTGAAATTCACATGAGAAATTCGCTCTATTTCAATTCCGAAATAAATCAGTTTACCCCTCGGAACGGATAATTCGAGCCGGAGTTCGGGTAGATGTTGACGGTGGGCGCCCCGTTGTCCGACAGAAAGACGATCACGCTGTTGTCCAGCATGCCGGACTCGCCGAGAGCTCGCACGACCTCGCCCACGGACTCGTCCATGGCCCGGATCATTCCTATATTGTATACATGCGTATAAAAAAGGAACGATACAGTTTTGTCCGTAAACAAACAACAATACCAGCGTATCTGCGACGTTTGATGTCCTTGATGTGGCCGAAGGTGGCGTTGACCTCGGCCATGTCGCGCACCTCGAGGCTCTCCTCGGCCTCGCTCGCGTGCCCGGCCAGATGGGCGATCTCCAGGAAGAGGGGCCGCCGATCGCCGCCGTCCCTGCCGTAGCGGCGAATCTCCCTCACGGCCCTGTCCGTGATGACGTCGGTGAAGTAGCCGGTGACTCGGCCGGCGGCCGCGATCACCTCGGGCCCGTCCTCGTGCACGTCCCGACCTTTGACCTAATACGTAATATTCGCATTTACGTTGATTCGTAAGCTTCGCTTCGACGCGAGCTTCGTAATAAATATTATAATTTGTACCGTGACGTTGCCAATTCTTTCGGATAGATCGTGATCGTAGTAGCCGATGTAGCCGTTGTAGTAGCCGAAGAAGGTGTCGAAGCCGCGCCGGGCCGGCGTGAGATCCTCGCTCGAGTAGCCGAGATGCCACTTGCCCACCAGGCCGGTTCTGTAGCCGAGACGTCGGAAGTGTTCCGGCATCAGGGTCGTGTCTCGAGGCACGGAACGCGCCTCGCCCGCCGAGAGCGGCCAGCCTTGCATGCCTGAGAGAGCGCATGGTACATAAACAGACGCGTGTATCATAACTTAATTGTGAATTGATGACTGATGGAATGTGATGGAGATTTAATGATCAAATAAATATAGACAGCTGGTTTTTTTATATAAACTAATGGTTTAATTTTTATAAAAAATTCAATTTTTGTACATTTAGTTTACAAATATGCGTCTTCTTCCTTAAAACATTTCAATAAATCTACTTAAAATATTTACAAAACACGATCCTATTATTTTTACTTTGTAAAAATAACGGCTTCATTTTCCATTCAACCAGGTAGGATCCATCTTAGCTAAAGAATAGGCAACCTCGAACTTGTCGACGAGTTTCTGGCGCAGATTAATTTTAGCGCTATTGTAAATACTTGCTATTCTCTTTGGCTCTTTACCATGCTTCATTTCAAATTGGAGGTATTTCAACCAAATATCGGTTCTGTATTTACCAAACCAAACCGTCATCTTTTGAAACACACTGCGAGTATTTTCCACAGATACGGAAGGTTGTGACAGTTCGACCTCGATCATCGCTTGAAACAATTCTATGGACGGAACACTGTTCAATAGCAGCGATTGAAACTTTGTACGAGTGTGCTCGATACCTGGAAAAGGTTATCATTGAATATTTTTCTAATGAACAAAGAAATGAAAGGGAATTTAAATAATTACCTTCAGTTTCTGCAAGCCATTTGATATAAGTGGGCTGGATATAAGAACTAATATTGGGATTCGCAAGTCCCTTTTCAAAGAATTTGAGCAATTGTAATGGATGTGTAGATTGGATATGTTTGAATCTTGAGTCCCACAGTGAAATTGCTTGTTTTTTTAACGATGACGAAGCCTAAAAAATAAATAGTTTGTCATTAATATTTCCTTTAAAGTTTACCAAAAATTCAAAACAAACATAAAATACCTTATCGAAGATGTTTTCTAATTCTTCATCATTAATTGTTTGTGCAAATTCAAGATATTCTTTCCAAAGACTTTCACTTTCTGGATATATTTCTGTGGCTTTTTTGAAAATAACCTTAAGTTTTTGGCGAGTCTTATCATCTTCATTGTTGTTTGAAATCATTATTTTTTTTATCTGAAAGAAAATACCAATAAATGTTTATTCTTTTTGTAATTAATTTAAGTTGTATGAATTCTAATAATTACCCATAACAAATAGTATTTCTCATCTAGTAGACCTGTATTCTCTTCTAGCAGACCTGCTTCATTTAATGCATTTGATAGTAATTTGCTTTTGAAATTTGGTAATCCATCAGTATCATTAATTTCTATTAAACAACTGATAAACAGGGACCACATTTCTTTTTTGGGTACTTTCTTTACACCTTCTTGATAAACCTTGCAACAATCTTCAATACGTTCTTTTTCAGTCTTATTTACATTCTCATCAGACTCATCATCGCTGAATGTCGGTAACCCTTTTAATTGTCTTCGAGCCATTAAATCCCACATAGCAGGCTCATGCTGGAATTTTTCTATCAAGTCTCTGCATAGTAATACAATGAATTAATAAATGTAATAAAAAAATTATTGCAATTAAACTTTCAATTTTTCCTACCTTCTTATTACTTTTTGTAATTCTTCACAATCTTCGTAATCTTCTGACTCATGAGCTTCTAACATGTTTAGTAAATCAATACAAAATTGAACATCACAGACTTTATCAAGAGCTTCTTTGTATATAGCCATCAGTTTGTGTGGATTCCTATTTTCCTCATCTAGTTCAATTCTGAAGAAAAATATAAAAAAATTGAAATATTAGCTCAAAATTACTAGAGTTATTATTACACTTACCTTATAAGAAACTTGTACAACTCAGCTGATTTAGGGTGTCGCTTAATTCCTTGAAACAGGAATTGTCTAGCTGCATTTGGATTTTTTTGGTCTTCGTATTCACATTTAGCTGATAAATACCAGCACTCTGGTACATTTGGGTGCTTCTCAAGCATTTTTTTTAGGATCCAGGGAACGTTTTTATTATTGAATTTTTTTAGAAATTGCAAGTAATTAAGCCATAATTGTGTATCAGCTGCGAATCGTTTAGTAGCTAAATCGTACAACAAGCAAATCTTCTTAGCTACTTTAAATTCAACTCCACGCTTCTGTCCATTGCTTTTCTGTTGAAATTAAAATTTTTACAATTAATTGTTATACAATTTCATTGAAATATTTAGTAAAGCCACAATAAAAAATTACCTTTCTGCGTATAATTGCCAACTTCAATACACTTTTAAAAAAAGTTATGTAATTCAAATAATCAACTAGTTTTTTTTCATTTTTTTGGAGACGATACTCATGTTCCTTACAATCTTTCATGAGTTTGCTGCATTAAAAGAAATAAAACAATTTAAAATTTGAGGTCATAAATATTGTTTGACAAAAAATTCAACTACATATATTGCAATATAGTTCAAATTGATTTGGGACAAAGTTAAACAATATATAAACACTAATAATCACGAATAAACTTTTAAAAAACATTACAATGCAACAGCAGTTCATTGAACTATTTTAACCCTACTTACGTTGTTTCAATCTTTGAGAATAAACAGTTAGCTCTCATTTCTTCAAAGATGGAGCTCATCTTTTCCATATTCTGCTCTACAAATTCCGCCATGGTTGTGTTTTTGTTAACTTGGCACTATGTCAAATAATTAAAACAATGATTTGAATCAGATAATATTCGATTCAGTCTGATGTACACATGTGCTCACAGTAACAAGTAACAACCTCGTTGTTGCTGTGCAGCCGTCTGCTTCGCTACGATCAGTTGAGTTGCAGATGGCGTTACACTCAGCACCCGCGCGCGCTTCAAATTCCCGCGAAGATTAAAAGACAATGAATCATTAAAAAGGAAATGCATATTGCATCTTCACGGTATTTTTTATTAATTGCATTTATTTCGTAGAAAATATTTCAGAAATAATACAGAAACTAGTCACATATTATAAGGATTTTATCGAAATCGTCAAGATTATCACTTCTATAGTTCACATTATTTTATACATGTTTGTTACTATCGGAGTCGTTAAAATTATTACTTTACACCTGTTTGTTAAACTTTTTTCCTTCTGATTAGCGCAGAGTTGAAAAAGTAAAGTACACGAGAAATAGTTTTATATTTGACGTGATCATTTTCATTCGCTTTACAAAATTGAACTCAAAATAAAAAGAAAATTCAAAAAAGAAAGTTGTTTTCATGGGCCCAATTCTCGTGAATTACATTTCGATCATACGAATATATAAGGTGAATTAAAAAAATTTCAAATAATTTTAGATGTTATAAATAATAAATACGTCTACTTGCCTGTAGCATGAGAGGTAGGGAGAGTAAAATAAATTCAGACGAGTAAACACTGTTTTAGGCTTTGAATATTTATGAAAAAATGGTTTTACAACAAAAAAAAAGAGATATTATTTACCTGCTCTTATGGGATAGCGACCGGTCATTAGTGCTGTTCTCGATGGCGTACAAATAGGCAGAGCATAATGCCTGTTCAAAATAATTCCATTATAAGCCAGCGCGTCGATGTTCGGCGTGGGTATTTGATCGGATCCGTGAAAGCTCAAGTCGTTCCAACCCTTTCAAACGCACAATATAGAACAAATTGAAGAAACAAAGTAAATAAACAAAAAAAAATTACGTGACGATGTTTTTCAAAAGTTCGTTCTCAACTCACTACATCGTCGGCCACTATCAATATTATGTGCGGTCTCTCGCTGTTGATAATAGTACACAGTCCCAAGATTATTGCAATTTTCCGAAACATATTTCAATCGATCGAATTTCACTTATTGCAGATTCGCGTCACCAGTGTAAGAACTTCATTCCTATTCGCGAACAATGTCCCGTTTAATTTTTGTGTGTAAACACTAATAATAAAACAATATTACTACTTGCACTCGTCGACTCTTCGAAGTCAAAGCACATATTTGATAAGAAATTATCCGTATGTAACAAAACTGCGTCGATTGCGGTTACAGCTCGGCAACTGCTCCGCGAAGCACGAGACACTCGAGATTTACTTTGCCATGTATACACTCGTGTGTATTGAATATAAAATCTCATGCAATCGAGCGTCGATGAGAGATTACGTAAAAAAACGAGAAATCGAAAGTCCACGCAGTGCACAGTCCAAAGCCTCGATAAATCGCGTTACAAGTTTACGCGTACAGTTTGTATTTTAAATAAATAAATCGACACTAGTAATTGTTATAATTTATTAAAAATATTCAATTATAATCTTGTAACAAAGGCGACTGTCGTTTGGCCATATCGGGGGATCATATTTATATATTACGTGTAATATATGGAGTATGCCCTTTCTAGTGAGCTGCCTGTCTGTACACATACATGTATGCAAAACGTCGTTCGTAAATATACGTAATAAAGGCTAAACGCAGCTGCAACCGCGGCTTATTAAAATTCCATTCGCAATGGCTTAAATGATTGATTTGGCAGCGCGCGCGAGTACATAAGCAAATACACAAATACACACCCATCGCATACAACACAAACACACACACATAGGTACGCGCGCACACACGCGCACATGCATATATACGTATAAAATAATGACAATGAAGATTGAGGACAAGTGTCGTTTTAGAGACTCACGTGCATAAGTCGTGTATACATATTCATACATAATAAGCAACGAAGAATCGGGATAAATCTATTTTATTGTTGTTATCGTTAGTCAGTGTGTAATCTTCGTGTGTGCGTAATATGTATGTGTGTAACGAGCGCGAGAGTTGTTGATCGTTTGGTCAAAACAATAACAACGGCGATGACGACGACGAAGACGACAACGATTCGAAGTTTCATTGCCGTGTGCATAAACGCTGTAAAAAATAATTTATATCCTATTCGTATGAATACCTACAGCAAGTGAAGGTTCGTTATTGTAAAAAAAATTATGTGTCTTATGAGCTACTGTACTGGTTTAAGATTTTCATTTGTAAAAAAAGTTTGTTAGTTTGCGATATGTATAGCAGTCTGTATTTACGTATTTTCGGTGTGAACTTGCAAAAAAAATTGACACTCTCCTGTGTGCAACTACGAGCCCGCCACTCGATTATTCACTTCATAATTGGACGGAAATGTCATCCTAAATACTCTATTTATCATTATACGTTCTTAAAGTACTGAAATTGTAATTTCTTCAATCGCGCAACAATAAACTTACATCGTAAAAGTAAACTTTAACTACCTATTACTCGACGTTAATATAATTTGAGATAAGAACAGCCAATCCCCCGGAAAGTCTCGCTCTAAGCAAATACAACAATTATATTAAAAAAAATGTATACTCCCTAACACTTGCTCAATGAATTAATTATTTCACGCTAAAGACAACGGTGACTATCCTCTCGTCCTTGGTCTTCGTGGCTGTTCCCTTGCTGTCGCTCGCGCAGCCTGCGTCGAGTTTCTTCATTTTTTCACGCTGCCTGCAGTTCTGCCGATAATCCTGGAGTCAAATGAAGGCCCTGAGCGACACGATGAGCAGCACCAGGCCCATGTGGGCGCACACGGCGAAGGTGCCGATGGCCGCCGCCGCGTTCGGATACGCGTACACGCTGTCGTAGACGCTCAGCCAGGGCTGCCACGTGTAATTCCAGCGTCGCGGATCGGCCATGTAGTCCACGGACTGGCGCAGCTGCCGCACCATGACGTTACCGTACTTCTCGAGGTACAGGTCCAGCTCGTTGATCCACTGATAAGCACGACGCGTTGTGAAAAAAAACATCATCGACTCGCATTCGAAGAGCGAGAAAATAACGATTCAACTTACCCTTGGATAGCTCTTGGCGATGTTGTTGGTCTCGCAAGGATCGACGCTGAGGTCGAACAGGCACTCGGTCTCGTTGCACGAGGCCAGACTGTAGCGATTGTTGTAGTGCGTGTTGGTCATGTTGGGCCTGCATAAAACCGTGGCCTGGCTCTGCAGCTGCCACATGCCGCTCTCCTGGGTCACCGGCACGCCCAGATGCTGCCTGATGGCGTCGGACACGGCGCTGTTCTTGATCTTGGTCGTGTTGTAGATGGGCGCGTAGCGTCCCCGGCCCGTCTCGCCCTCGACGCTGTCGTAGTAGCCCTTGAAGAGCGAGCCGCGCACCAGCTTGAAGCGCTGATAGATCGCCGCCTCGGTCTTGGTCACCTCGTCGATATTGAGGAGGATCTTGTCGCGCACGTTGCCGGTGCCGATGCTCAGCACGTCCCACTGATTGACGCCGTCGATGGGCCCGAGATCGCGCAGGTCGCCACCCGCCGCGGAGTACAGGGTCGGCAGCCAGTCGGTCACGTGGATCAGCTGGTCCGAGACGCGGCCCTTGCTGAGCAGACGCGGCGACCAGATCGCGGCGACGCCTCGCACTCCGCCCTCGTACAGGGTGTACTTGGTCTGCAGCAATTGGCGCACATTTTATTGCATCGGTGAATGTATTGATTTATAAAATATTATGCACGTGCGTTATGATACTCACTCCTCTGAGTGGCCAGTTGGAGCCCCAGTTGCGGAATTTACCGATCGGTGCGCCGCCGTTATCGGTCAGGAATAAGATGATCGAATTGCTCAGCATGCCGCGATCGCCCAGCGACGATACGACTCGACCCAGCGATTCGTCCAGTTTCGATACCATCTCTGTTCGTAGCGGGTAAACGAGAAATGAGAAAAGTTTCGAAAAATGGAGCTCTCGGAAAAAATATAACAATCAAAAAACCAACTCGCGTAAGCTCGACGATTGGGCTCGCTAATGTGTCGGAATTCCTCGTCGAAGACGTTCTCGTAGGGCACGTCGAGCGGGGCGTGGGGCGCCAAGTGCGATATCTGCATGTAGAGCGGCCTCATCGGATCGTGTCGGGTTATCACGTCCAAGGCCGTGTCGGTGAACAGGTCCGTGGCGTACGAGCCCTCGGTGCCGTAGGCCGGATGATCGTTCATGTGCATGTCGAAGCCCGACATGTTCTTTTATGTGAAAATAAGATAAAAAAATTAAATTATAATACGCGTGACTTCATCGATAATGTATGGTAGTTTTAATGCCACTTACCGCCTGTGAGTATCGATAATCGTAATAGCCGACGTAGCTATTGTAAAAGCCGAGGAAGTAATCGAAGCCACGGCGATTCGGTGTGTGCTGGGGAGTGTGATAGCCCACGTGCCACTTGCCGATGAGCTTGGTGTCGTAGCCCAATCCTTGAAGATACTCCGGCAGGATTCGCACGTTCAGGGGTATTCCGCGCGGCTCGCCACCGAGTATGCTGCCACCCTGCATTCCTGTGTGTACGATTTAAATTTGTGCATCGAGTATTCCATGCAATAACGCGTACACTTATACACTTACCCATCCTAATGGGATATTTGCCGGTGAGGAAGGCGGCCCTCGTCGGCGTGCAAGACGGCTGGACGTAGTGCCTGTTCAGGATGATGCCGTTGTAGGCGAGCGCGTCGATATTGGGCGTCGGTATCTGAGTGGAGCCGTGAAAGCCCACGTCGTTCCATCCCTTATTACGAATAACATGGCACGATTTGTAAATACGATAAAAAATGAGGCATTTATGCGGTATGTCATATACGTCGAAAAATTCAACGAACGCGCGCGCAACTGAGTCAGTGATGTATCGCGAGCGCGCAAATGAAAAGAGAGAGAGAGAGAGAAAACTAAAAAGTCGCGTAGGCGTGTTTTCTTCGGTATTATGGTTATACATTGTATATGTATATACACACCGAGACGACGTGCGACGACGCTCGAGCCGTCGTAATTGCCTCGACTAATGACTGCATTAATTTGATCCGCGCTCGCCCCAGACGCTCTTTGCGATCTCCGCTTCAGCTCACACATATATATGTACGCGCAGAGAGAACATTGAATTGGTATCGCGAAGAGTCGACGCAGAAAGAAAGTAAAGCGAAAGAGAGGAGGATAAAAATTGTCCTATTCCGCGGCAGCGGCGGCTGCCCCGGCGCACGCACGCACGCAGTAATGTGCGGAAATGACAGATCCTCCTGGCGCGTCATCGCATTACTCACGTTACTTTTTTCCCTCTTTCTTTTTTTCGCGCTTTCGTACATATATACATTTAACGTCGATGCGCTTGTGCGCGTGTAACGCATATAATGCGCGTGTATTAATTTGAAACTATACAATCAAATCATAATTGACGCTTGCACGGTCGATCGGATCGAAACGAGGTTGACAAAAAAAATTCGGAAGCGGCGCGGCCCGAAACATTTCAATAAGTTAACGACCGTTTATCTAATCGTTGATGCATTTAAGTATGTGGTACATGCACCCACCCGCACGCACACGTAATAAATTGTCCATAGATTGAATTGAATAATAAAAGGAGCGGTCGCGAGCGTTCGACCGATCTGTGAGATGATGCGCGTCGTCGTCGTCTTACCAAGTCGTCGGCCATGAAGACGACGATGTGAGGTGGCGCGTCGAATTGCACCTCGGCCCTGCCCACCGACGTGGTCGCGATCAGCGCGAGGCATAGTAAAAGGGCGAGACGACCTAACGACGACGACGACTGTCCTCTTCTTCTTCGCGTCATCGCCGTCATTATCATCATCGTCCTCGGGTTTACTGCTGTCATCTTCTCTTGTATCTGTCTGGCTGTCTCTCTCTCTTTATCTTCTTTTTCTCGGACGTCGAGGCTCGTTAGCTTTCGAATTGGTCTTATGGTATGCGCCTACTTATAATATATGTCCAACCAAGTGTGTATTTCCTGTGGTGGGCAGCAGCTGCGCGGAGAGAGCCTGTAAACACGCGCGCGCGCGTGCACGCATACACGAATTATTTTTTATTGTTATCGTTATTAGCGACTCGGTCGAATCTTGTACAGCGTGCGACGTCTCGATTCGCAATGCCATCGAGTGCAGAGCATGGGTGGGTGTTAAGAGCCACGTTCATGAACCGGAAAATATCACGATTCTTAAATACGGTCTATGCGTGCGCGGTGTCCTTGCGATGGCAGATTTATGAATGGAAAAATTTTCAATTTTCTTTGGCCAAACGATCGCGCGCGAAACTGGGGTGCAGTATGCAGTGTCGTTGTTAATTGCCCAGCGAGACGTGTCGAACGAATTGAAAAAAGGCGTCTACGGCCGCGTTAATTGTTATACACGTTTGTGGCATTTTTTGTGAGCTTCTGCAATTGAGATGAATTAATAAGGTGACAAGATCGGCCGAGTTAGGAATGTTGAATAATAAGTAGACTTTATTAATTTTAACTGCGAACGCTTGTTTGTTCTTCTTCTTTTCACAAAGATGAATGACAAATCATCATATTTTTGCAAGTTTTATCAAAAAAGTCTAAAATTATCCATATTGAAAATAAAAAATAACTTACTTTCTGATTTTGCCAGCTGATCTCAGGACATGACTTTCCCACAAATCGGACTGCCGTATCTCGTCATATCATGCTTTGAGCTATGAGAATCCAAAATTTTTTAGCCACTCAAGTTTTCACTCAATCATAACAACTGACCCAAATGAATAATTTTACCTTAACGATGCATTCAGAAAATTAATCGCACCGAAATTTCACTCGTCCCCAGCGTAAGAAAAGCTCGACGATTAAGCCGCAAGTCTTCGTCGAACTGAGAAGCTTCGCGGACGATTAGGCGCTCTTTATATACTCGTAAGGGGGAAGGCTTGATGAGAGGACGACTGACGACGACGAAGACAACGATGATGATGATGAGCCCTGCCTGCAACTTGCGCCACGCGTGGGTAAAAATATAAAGACGAATACGTTCATATATTTGTGTGCATGTATGGCAAGTTGCATGCAATGCGACACAACGACTCGGACTCGACGATTACCTAGTATATTTTTAATAAGCCCGCATGCGTCTTGTGTATACAGATGAATAGCCGCGATCTCGTGCAGTAATCTTGAAAGTAGGTGGTGCACCCCATTGGAATGTCGCAAAATGCAACACATAAAGTCGAAGCTGTGAGATGATAAGTCAAAATTTCTTCAAATTTCTTTCAATTGAAACATCTAAAACTATCTGAAAAAATACTGTGAATGATTTGGTTTTCATTTTTTCTAAAATATTATTCATTGATGCGTACCTTGTAGTCAAGTTTAATTTGGATTCTTGGTACTTCAATTTTATATCAAACAATTAAAAATAAAAAAGTTAAGCAAATGAAGTGCTACCTAATATCGTCTGATAATACGCTCGAAGATAATGTATTACATGTAATTATTAAATAGTTTTAAAGAGAAGAAATCGCATAATACTAGGTATTGAAATGGTTATTATTATGTTTTCTATAACAAAAAATATAACTTTACTCTAATCAAATACTTAATACGGTGTTTATTTTTCTCAGCAGGAGCGACCATCGTAAGTACCCGATAAATAAAAATAAATTCTACATGATTTTTTAGTTGATTGAACGAGTGAAGCGAATAAATAAATCAAAAATTGATCGACAAAGTATAGAAAATCCACAAATTATAAAAATTTTTTTAGAAAAATCGATTCATCGTAGTGGACTTTTTAGCAAATGCGCCAAACATAAAACCACCTGAAAAAAGCACATTCGACTTTTTTAATTTGAATTTTCAAAAACTAGAAAGTCAAAAATAATATTTACCTGGGGGTTCTTGTGAATTCGACTTTGGTTCATTATTGCTTGGATCAGGACGAATTTGAGTATTTATTGGCAACGATTCAGTTGTATTTTGCTCTTGGGATCGGTTCTTCGAAGCTGCTACAGGCGAGCAGAATTTATTCAACATTTTTTCGTAGTCAAAATCACCGTCTTCGGATGCCATATCGGAATCTGTACGGAAAATACTTTATTAAACATTTGCACCTCGAAATCAACATTAATCGAATATATAAATATGTACCCTCGTAAAGTCGACGCGCTAATTCAGCACTGCCACCAGGTTCTGTAATTTCACTGCCAAGGATTGCTGATATATTATCGACCGAAATGTTCATTTCGCTGGAAAGCATACTCGTCGACATCATTCCTGCTGGATCGACATTCATGCCGGACACGGGCGTCACATTCAGGTTTTGTGGCATCTGCATGGGATAATTTGACGCTGTCGAGTCAATATTATGGCTGCTCTCTTGCATGCTCGGCATTGCCGAGCCGTTGTTCCGCGAGCTTTCGTGCATGCTGGACATCATCGGTGTCTCTTGACGTCGTTGCTGCAGCTGTTGTTTTTGCTGTTGTTGATGCTGATTGTGTTGTTGTTGTTGTTGCTGTTGCATGTGTTGAGAATTGACTGGTACCTCTTGTTGAGCGAGCTATATTATATTAGAAGTTCATGAAAATTCAGAAGTAAATTGCTCGAATTATCAAAATATATGTAAGGCGTACGCTGTAGTGATTTTTTGGAGTCTTTACGACAAAGTTGACGTTTTGTACAGATTTTATGCGAGGCGCATTGGATTGAGGAAGTTTGGACAAATCTCGAGGATCAAAAACATTCTGATCGTCTGGTTGATATTGCTGCTGCTGCTGATGTTGTTGCATCATCAATTCTTGAGATGAATTGCTGTGCTGCATTTCTTGCGATGAGTGTCGCTGCATCTCTTGCGACGACGACAACGACTGCTGACTTTGAAATTGTTGTTCCTGTGATGAGCGTCGGGGTTGTTCCTGTGATGAGCGTCGTGGTTGTTCCTGTGATGAGCGACGTGGTTTTTCCAGTTGAGCATCTTGGACAGGATGACTTTGAATGTTGGCCGAATTATCGCGAGTGAAACATTGCATTTTCGCGGGTGTCGGTACCGGACGTTGCTGATAATCTTTGCCTGTGGTATCTTTCAGGGTGGTGGGGGGAGCTTGTTGATTTTCTAAATAAATTTTCAATTTCATTAGTGAAAGTTGAGAAATTTCTCTGAATGCATTGTATACCTCGTTTATATGGAGTTTTCCGAGCATTTGGAGATACATTTTCAGACTGCTTATGTTCTTCAACAAATTTTTTCTAAAATCATATTCGAATCAAATTTCAAATTGGGTTTTTTTACGTAAGCCAGTAAATACTTTTTGAACAGTCATATACCTTGAGTTTATTAGAATTCATTACTTTTTGCGATTCATTGTTGGACCTTTCATTGTTTCGCCTATCGTTCGATTCTTTCGGTTGAGATGCACGGTCTACTTCACTAGGCATTTTACTGGGAGCAGTATCGTTTCGATTCACACTTCGACCTTGTTTTTTATATTTGTCGCTATTATTGGTTTTTTGAGATTCGTTTGGCTTGTTCGATTGCGGATATTGTTTGTTCAAGCCTTCAAACTCAGTTGTATCGATATCCATGTCGATATTATAATCTTCATCTAAAATATCGCATTAATAAAATTATAGTACCTTAAAATATTGATTTTGCTAATTTACGAAATCATACCAATATTTATTCGCAAAGATTCAATGTTTGGCGGAATAGGCTCGGATTTCTTTTTCGAACGATCATCTGAATCCAGGTACTCTTGTTCCAATGCCATGGAATAAACGGAAGCAGTATCTGGGAATACAATAATTTTCACATAAATATGTTTTCGAGTGTACTTCTCCTGATCGATGATCTTACCAGCATTATCTTGACTTAATTTTTTGTTGATCAAAAAGTGCGACAAATCGACTTTCGGCATCTGTTGAGTTTTACTCCTTGCATTGAATCTTGCCAAACGGTAGTTTTGTTTTTCGGCATTTTCAACCTGTCGAATTCGCTTCCGTTAGAAAAATAAACAATCATAACACGTCGATTTTCGAAAGAAAAGTTTCACCTTGTGGCGCAGTTCTTGCGCTTTCGACTTCATCGCTTTGATCCTACCGATGAGCTGATGGCAATTTTTCTCTCGCTTGTTGTGCTCGAGATACAATCGGGCAAATTCGATGATTTTCAGCTGCTCCCGTTTTTTGGCGATTTGCTTTTTCAGCCTCATCGACCGTTGAGCCTCGTTTATGCGATAAGCCGCCAATTTTACCTGAATCGTTACTCGCAGCAGTCTCGATTCTGCTTTGCGTCGTTCCATGGCCAGCGGAATTGCTTCGTACTCTTCCTGAGCGATCATTGGAGCAATAGAAAGAAAAACATACAATTCTTACCAATAATCAAACGCAAACAATGAATAAAAAGAAAAAACACCTCGTATTTCGCCCAAACTTTCAAGTGTTCCTGCAGCATGTCGTCGTATTGTTTTATCATAGCCAATGTTATCATGGACTCGCTGTCCTCCTTTCTCTCGGCCAGTTCGAGCTCTCGGCTGACGATGCTCTCGTACTCGTCGAGCCTGCATCACAATTAAAAATACACACAATCGAGGAAAAAAGTCAAAAAATTTCGTCTCTTTTTTTTTTTGGACGCATACCTCTCTAGAATCATCACCTGAGTGGCTTCATTCTTTTTGGCCTCGCTGATTTTATTCTTCAAGTCGCGTCTGGTTTGAAGCTCATCGCGAATCTTGTCCTTCACCTCTTTGATTTTATTCTCGTAGACTGAGTTGAAAAAAAAGGTCAAAATTATGTCAAAGTCGAAACGGCGTCGACGACACGAAAAGAAAGATCGCGTTCATCGGAACTTCTTATTGACTCACCGGTTATTTGTTCCGTAATTTTATCATCGTCCACTTCCATCATTATTTCTATTCTCACTCGAGTAAAAAATTGATTAAGATTCCGAATAATTCGATAGTCGAAACATATCACTGAGTATCAATCATCGCTGCCGAGATGCCGTATTGTGTCGAGCGTTGGAGAGACTTCCGAGAGTTCTGGGAAATTCTGCTAGCAAGTTGCATCGTCGAAATACGTTAAATTGAAACGTTCGAAAAAAAAGAACGTTACGAGTACGTTCGATCGCACGACTCTGTGCCCTCGATTGCAATTCTTACGATTGTTTACGATGAAAATCAAGAAAGAAAACAGAATGAGCGAATGAACTTCGCGACACCCAACGATTGAAGCGATTCAATTTTCGAGTTCTCGAAATTCATACGAGTGCAATGACTGCGTCGGTAAGAAACTGCGTCTCGTGCGCGAGCCCACCGCGAGCGGCAGCACCGAACACCGACCAATCTCCACCTCGTGCGTGTTGTGTCGGTGTGTTTGTGTGTTCAATGTTTTCATAATATACTGGGCGCATCGGATAACGCAGCGCAGCACAGCTGAGAAATTGTTTCCTCAACCGCTGATAACGCCCGTTAAAAAAGTACACGTAAATCAATAATCCCGTGGTGAAGCGTCGCGAAAGGTAATATCTCTCGTCCGATAAACTCGGCCCCGCGTGTTATCCGTTGCTCGCGTTCGACCCTATTTATCGGCGTTAAAAAGTATTGATTTCGAACACTGTGTGTGTGTATGAGTTGACACACCGTCTGCTATATAAGTTCGTAATAATAATTCGATTTTGACGAACGACCGTGACCACCACGCGCGCGTAGCGGGCACCCGTCGAAGAAAATTTTGCGCAATTGACGTGTAAATAACGCGAAATATAATACTATCGAAGTCGAGTCGGGGGAGCACAAACTTGGCGAACGAAAATGCGATGTTTTCAACGAAAGCGCATCTGATAAAGAAGACGGGTAAACACGGGGTGGGACGGCCTGAATTTCTCGAGCAGCTGAAACAAGAATACAAAACAACCAAGTCACTGGGTAAGGATTTGCGAATTAACTCTTTTGAACTCGTACTTTTATCATCATTTCATCCATTAGACCTGATTATGTTTATTTACTTTTTTTACGTTCTATTTTGCAGATGCTAAAAAGCAAGTTTTGGCTAACTTGGCGAATTTCTGTTACGACCCGATAAATTACGAGTATCTTTGGAGATTGCGGATTCTCGACTTGTTTTTCGAAGCTCTGGATGAAAAAAATAGAGAACTTGTAATTTTTGCTGCAGGCGGCATCTGCAACATATGCTTACGTAAATATAATTTTAATGTTATTTCGTTACTTGCTCTTTCGTACTTTGCTCCCGAGATCATGTCCAAAACTAATATTTGTTTTTTTAGATCCTCTAAGTAGAGAGTATATCATAAGGACAAAAGGATATGAAAAAATAGCTGCACTCTTATGGAAATCTGAAGAGCTTATTTTATCAGCTCTCACAACTTTGATGTACTTAATAACAAGAGAATCAAAAGAGCTCATTGTTACTGCATCAATAACTGAAAAAGTTGAAGAATTATCGAAACATAAGGAAGTGCGCATAAGAAATTTAGCAGTGGTATTTCTGCGAGATTTTTGTGGAAAAAAAGTAACAGAAGTATCTGAGTCTGACACTGCAACTACTGAATCTAATGTACCAGATGATTCAAACTTAAAAACTGATGAAAGTAAATGCATGAAAAATTTTAAAATTGTACAGAAACCCAGTAGAATTGTTGTAAACAATCTTGATGAAAGTGAAGTTCAACCAATCGTAAGACTATCAACACATCCTAGAAGAAGATTGTGATGCATAAGCAATTTGTTCAAAATATGTCTGTTCCTTTACTAAACACGAAAAAAACAAAAATGTTCCGCACTATGTTTACTTCTGCAAAGAAGTATTGTACTAAAATATCTTCTGGTTCGGCTGCAGCAAATTTAGAAAATCTCAAAATTGGAGATAAAGTTTCTATCCAGAGAACAGTTACAGAAGATGATGTGTTGGGATTTGCAAAATTGACTAATGATTACAATCCCATTCATATTAACTCAACCAAAAATATAGTTCATGGTGCATTTTTAAATGGACTATTATCAGGTATTCTTGGAACGAAACTACCTGGACCTGGTACAGTAGTTGTTGAACAAATATTAAGGTATCCAAAACCTTGTTATGTTGGAGATACAGTTGAAATTTCTGTAGAAATAACTTCTGTGAGAAAAATAGTGAAGTGCAAGTATACATGTATGGCTAATTCTGAAAGAATCGTTATGGAAGGAGAAGCCAAATTAGTGACAGATTCAACTAGAACTCAAAAAATTACCTTTACAAAATAAATTGCTATTCTAGTATCATTCATTCAAAACCTTTCTGTAAGATTGAATGTAAATCAATTGCCAAAGTGTAAATATACTAAAGTATCAAAAGTAGGTCTTACAAAACTTGTCACTAGAGCCTTACGTAAGACTTGAAACATTTGCACATGCAGCAGTCTTACTTCAGCGCATGTTGGTTTCATCATTTATTATACAAACAGATGTCAAGAAAGACATACATAAGCATCAAATCATTTATCATTCATGAATTTTACTCGAGACAGAGTGTACTGTAAGTGTTAATTGATTAAAATATATTTTATCAAGTTTAATTCAGTCTTTTATTTATACTAATTCATTAGTCTTAGGTAAAGATGTACCCTCTGCTGTTGATTTTTCTTCTTGCAACACGTGTTTATGCAAGTGAGGATAACGCTATAACGGTAGCTTCAACTACCCAAGATCAGGATCAAGATCAAACAACTGATCCAACAACTGAAATTCCTACTAGTCCTATAACTACAACTGAGGCACCGCTTATTGCTTGCACATGTGGAGTATTTTTAAGTGGATCATTCAAAAGAGGAAGTAAGGTACCACCAAGTGAACATCCAGCTTTACAATATGAACAAGCAGAGACGTTTCCGTGTTCAAGTATTGGAAATAAAATGTGTACCAACAAATGTCTAGATGTGGTTAGTAATTTTCAAGTTGATAATTTTTGTTTTTCAAAATTCAGTTTGAGCAAAAATTTTTCTTCTCTCCATTTCAGATAGTGAAACACTTGCCAAACAGTCCTAATATTCTGTGTGGATCCATAGACAGAGACTGTCATAAAGAGCGGGTAAAAATCGTATATATTTATCAAGAATCGTATTGACATTTCTGTCGAGTCTTTCAACATTTCCTTTTTCCACAGGCATATTTATTCATCAAGAACTGTCAGGACGATTGGATAAATACAAATCTATCCGCTGGACGCGAGTACTGCTGTAAAGATGGAATTCCTTATAAATGTCCCTTTTGAATCGAAAAATGCAAACTGGACAAACTGTATTTTTATACTAATTTTATATTGTTAATAAATTTTAAGATTTGTGAAATCTCCTCCGTTTGCTTTCTTCTAACATCCGATTGTACATTGCTCACAATTGAAACGAAAAAATTCATCGCTCGGTAAATTTTGACAATAGTTCTATATTTAGCCAGCTCGGCAGCAGAGAATCGACGTCATCGGGCGGCTACAATCATGCGCAAGCTCTCCATAACGGAACTCATTACGCAATTGCGCGCGTATAATACCTGCGGCACAGACACTCTTGCACGCGTGTGTCTAATCACGTTATATGTGCATGTCGTTTTTTCAAAACAAAAAGGGCAACATCGCAGCTCTACGCGCCTTCGGGGGGTCGACGTCTCGAATTAAAGCTCGCGCGATACCTATACATATAATGTTTATATGTATGTGTAGTAGCGCGCAATATATACATGTATCGAACGACGCGTTATAGTTTTGGCTTTCGCCGCCACCCTCTAAATTTAGACCCGCGGCTCGTCGAAAGTGAGGCCGTCGCCGAGAGAGAATATAGGATAGTCGTGCACGAGCAGTTTCCATCTCGCGCTGCGTTGTGCGCGAGTATATAATATACACGCGACGACGATATTTACGCGTATCGTGGCATAAACAGAGAAAAAAAACTTTAACGTTTGTGTATGTGCGTGTTATTTTCGTTTGAACAAATCTTTTGACTATTTTATAAATTACCGTTAAATAAAAGAGACTCGAAAACGATGCATTCGATATACGTCGCAGAAAGCACGCAGCTCGGACACGTTGTGCGCAATTTCTCGTGAAATATATTATTATGCTCGCGATATCATGGCGGCGATCGAGACCATCGCCATAATCGACCACAATCAGCAGAATAATCAGCATCATCATCATCATCACGACGGCGGCGGCTCGACGACGCTGAAGATGTGCGCCCGTCTGCTGGCCTGCCCGCTGTGCTCGCAGCCGGGCTTCAACACGCTGGACTCGCTGCGCGCCGGACTGGTGAGCGTGGCCACCCGCGCCCTCGCCTGTCCCGTCTGCAACGAGATACTCATGGGCATCGACAAGCTCACCATACACCTGTTCGGACACACGATTTACAGTGGTGGCCACAATCACAACAATAACAACAATAATAATAATAATGGTCATCATCGAAACAATCATCACAACAACGGTAACGATCATCGAGGATCCAACGGCAACTGCGTCGAGCCGAAAATCGTCGAGCTGCAGCAGGCCACGAGAGGGCCGAGCGGCAGCACGATCTGGATCGAGGGCAACGCAAATGCTGCGGTAGGCAGTGCTGCTTGTTTGGACGACGGTGGCAAATTGCTGAACGGCAACGACGGGGCGAGCATCTTCATACCGATCGAGGAGATTGAAAACTTCCGCTCCAATAGCAGCAACAACAACAAACAGCAGGACCAGCACCATCTGATCGGCAACGATAATCGGACGGTCGTTCTGCAGAACATCGGCGGAGGTGGCAATTTGCTGCCTGTCAACGCGATGTCGGGTGCCGATTTCGCGAACGACAAAATCGGCAAGGAGTCTTACACGCAGGTGGGTGCGCGGTACTGTCTCTTCGATTGATCGATCGCATAAATTTACCGATTTTTTTTTTCTTTTTTTCACGCCTCGCAGACCGACTGGTCGAAGAACTCGAACGAGCAGCAGCAGCAGCCGCAGCAGTTGGAGACGCGGACCGACATGCTCGCCGAGCTCGTGAAAAACGCCCAGATAACCGCGTCCCCCTTTCCCGTCAGCAATTACGAGCCGACGACGAGCGACGGCAACAACATCGACAACGACGACGACGACAACGACAACGATCGAGTGGTGGTAGAAGTAGCAGCGTCGGCGAAACCGATCGTCACCTCGCAGCGACTGCTGGCCAAGGACGAGCGACCCGAGCGCTGCGACATCTGCGGCTTCGGCTTCCCGGACCTCAAGATCCTGCTGCTGCACAAGCAGATCGCGCATCGGGTGCCGGAGGCCCAGGCCCGCCTCGGGCCCGAGCAGCTGCACATGAAGAACTTCCCGTGCCACCTGTGCAGCAAGGTGTTCACCATCAAGGGCAGCCTCATGGTACACATGAAGGTCGCCCATCCGGGCGTCAATAGGCCCGTCAATCCAGGTACTTATTTTAACAAATATAATGTAAAACCACTGGAACCTCATAAATTATAATAATCCATTGATGTCCGCGCGACGCGATGTACATACGTGTGTGCACTCACGCCCAGGTGAAAATAGTATGTAAGATTTGACTCCAGATCTTGTATTCTATAATCGACGTCAGAACTTATTTCAGATCTGACATCAGATCTAATGTTAGATCTGAAGTGACTGTATTGCCTTTAATTATTTAAACAATAACTTTATTAATAATTGAAATTTTATAACAAATTTAGTTATATTTTAATAATCACATTGATAATAACTTAAGAAAAATTCCTACAATATTTAGGTTTCCGATAATGTGAATTTAAATTGATTCAACAACTTTTATTATTAAGATTTATTATAAAATTGTAATTATTAATAAACCTATTGTTTAATTAATTAGAAGCAATACAGTCACTTTAGATCTGACATTAGATCTGATGTCAGATCTGATATAAGTTCTGATGTCGATTATCGAATACAAGATCTGGTATCAGATCTGATGTCAGATCTGGTGTACATTTGTCAGATTTTATACCAGATCTGTCGCCAGATCTGGAGTCAGATCTTACATACTATTTTCACCTGGGATACACCCACATTATTGGAAAACGATGAGATTGTCTACGTTGCAGGACTGCTAGTCGTGAGCGACGAGGAGCGAGTGGCCACGGTGCTGAGGGTTGCCTCGCCCACCGAGCCCATAATTGCCCACAAGTCGCCCGTGACTTGGATTTTTACAAAGTTCGAAAGGCGTAGTTGTACGTGTGTTCGCATCAATCAGAATTACATTAGAAAAAACAAACGAACAAACAATGAGACAGCCTTGATTATCGATAGACAGACGTTTTTGATACTTTTTTTGTGTCTTTAATTAGATCGTAATTTTTTTTGGGATTTTTTGAACCGTAGAATCGATCAAAGCCACTACCGATACCATGAAATTATGGCTTTGATTTTTTTTTTCCTTTTTTTGGATTTTTGTGCATGACGTGTCGACGACACGAGTAGATCGCTATATATTATAATGTACAACCCGTAGGCTATATCTTCTTTTTTTTGTTATAATACACGGATAATTAATAATAATGTCACAGCTTTATACCCCCCCATGAATTAATACTCGTAGCTCCACGTATATAGATAAAAAAAGCACAGCCAAAGCTTTGTACACCCGTTGGTGCAGTCTGGAACAAAAAAAAATAAACAACCACAACGACACACGAACTCTGAAAATCTGAACGAACTACAACGAATCAGATATTCTGTGTATAAAACAATATTATTATCAACAATAATATAATTTATGTTTAATTATTAGTTTATTATCCCCGAATCGTCACGCACTTCGCAACCGCACCATCACCACTAGCCCAATTTAGGAAGTGTATAATGATATCACAATGCTTTTTATTTATTATCGTATTGTAGCAGCTATGAATGACATTTTGAATCCCCCGATGTTGTAAATAAAGCTGAGAGCTAGAGTTGTTTTTCTTCAAGTTTTTCTTTCTAATTATTCGGTCTCTCGCTCGGCGGGGCCGTAAACGCATTACAGACAGACACGAGATGAAGGAGTCGGAGGGTTGCATATACAAGAAAACCGACAAAGGCTTCGAGTGCCCGAACTGCGGCAAAGTTTTCACCAAGGTACAAAGTAGCAAAACAATTAAATGTCTTCACCTCGTACGCAAGAAAAATAAAAATTAATGTCCAAATTACGTTCCGCGCGCGCAGGAGCAAAACATCATCCAGCACATCCAGACGCACGACAGCAAGCAGTGGGAGTGCGACGTGTGCTGCAAGCTCTTCACCACCAAGTACTTTCTCAAGAAGCACAAGCGGCTGCACTCGGGCGAGATGCCGTACAAGTGCGGCCTCTGCGACAAGACCTTCACGTTCCAGCAGTCCTATCACAAGCACAAGCTCTATCACAAGGACGAGAAGCCGCACGAGTGCAAGACCTGCGGCCGGGCCTTCAAGGAGCTCTCGACCCTGCACAATCACGAGAGGATACACACGGGCGAGAAGCCGTTCGAGTGCGAGTCCTGCGGTGCGTATAATGTACCAGTTGACGGAAGAAAAAATCGGTGTCACGGGGCAAGAATAGGCGGTTTTTCACAATAAATCACACTTCCAGAAAACAAAGAAAACTGTCGATTCTTGTCACATGGCACCGATTTTTCTTGTATATATTACAATTGTGAGTTGACACGTCCAATGAGAAAAGTGTTACATATAAAAGTACCATCTTGTAACAATTTTACTATGTCTCATGATAAAATTATTTGTAAAATTACTGGAAATAATGCTACACAGTAGACATTTTTTCATGGTACAATTAATTTTTATTTTGTCATAATGTAATTATTGTTATAGTGATTTGTACGAGAATTTTTGCATATAATTTTCGATTACTATATGAATATATTGATTTTTCTAACATCAGTTTTGTCGGCGTATGAATCGCGATCGGTATATACACTCTAAGCCAAAAAGAGTAATTTTCAAACCTCAAAAGAGTAAACTGCATTATTTACTCTTTTCAGAAGAATAAATGACGCAGTTTACTCCTTTCACTTTAACGCTAGAACTGCACTCTTTTGAGGTTCGAAAATTACTCTTTTGGGCTTAGAGTGTAGGATAATTAATTATTGAAGATCTGCATTATAGGTAAATGCTTCAGGCAGAGGGTCTCGTACTTGGTGCACAGGAGGATACACACGGGTGTCATGCCTTACGAGTGCACGATTTGTGGCAAAAAGTTCAGATACAAGGTACGTATACAACGAAGAAAAATGAAATTAAAAATAATTGACTTCATTTTTTTTTTTTTTGATCGAACAGGTCAGCCAACGCACGCACAAGTGCGTACCTTCGAGCAACAGCACAGCCACCGCCAGTGGCAGTAGCAATGCCGATTCCTCGGCTCGAGCTGCTGCGACGGCGACGTTTCAATCGGAAGGCGACAACGCGACCGTCTATCCAGACGTCAATCCCAACAACAACAGCAACAGCAGCAGTGGCAGCAATTTCTTGCTCTTAGCCAGCGGCAACAAGGAGCAGGCGCTGAAACGAAAACTCGACGCCGAGATCGAGAACGAGGACGGCAGCTCGACGTTGCACCAGCAGCAGCAGAACAATCGCTCGATGATGCTCGTGGACGGTGGCGGCAGCCGCTCCAACGACGATTTCGCTAATTTGTGCTGGGCCACAACCACCAACAACACTACCAAGAGCAGGGACGAGCCCAAGGACAACGAGATAACCATACTGGCTGTGATAAACGACAAACATCAGACGACGACGACGACAGTCTGGCCCGGCAAGAAGATGCCGGACTCGCCGAGCACCGACGACAGCCTCATGAAGGAGCTGGACAAGGTCAGCGAGGATTACCGTAGCGGCGTCTGGTCGTCCCTGACGCAGGCGGCTGCGGTGCAGTCCTCGCCCTCGAGCGAGATGATGATGATGAGATCGCTGAGCCTCGCCGAGGTCACCGGCAGCATCGCCAACAACGACAACAAGAGCAGCAGCCAAGACTGCTGCGACGACTACTTCGCGCCTTTGGCCGATCATCCCAACGCCGTGGCTGTGGTCGAGCTGCAGCAGCAGCAGCAACGGGACAACGATGACACATCGATGACGACGACGACGACGACGGTCGAGGTGTCGATGATGAACGACGACAATGAGACTGCGAGGGGAAGTTTGTCGACCCTTCAGACCATCAACGAGGACTCGCTGAAGGAGCTGCTGAACAGTATAGCCGATAAATGAAGCTGAAAAAATTGGCTTTTTCTTCTATTTACCCCGGATTTTTTTCTTCTTTCTCTTCATTATGTAAAACGATTGTGATACCGAGATTTTTAGATTTTTAGATACAGGCAGAGAGGGAGAGAGCTTTTTTGTATAATTATACCACGTTGCGTATTGAATAAGCGTATAATTGTTGTAATTTTTGTTTTTGTTGGTTTTTTTTACAATGTATCGATGTCAAGTATAGATTTAAGGCAATTAATTATGTAATAAAACAAAATATTGGAAACACGATAACTCGTACTTTTATGTTTTATCCATTCGATAAGTATAAATATAGACCAGAACGCCCGGATTCGAATTAACTCCATGCCCTGGTAACTTTCGCACTGTATACTAAAATATATACAGGATTGACGGTAGTCTTTTTGCTGGTCAAGGAGCCGTAACTAGTTTTGAGTCAGCAGAACGCCGTGTCCTCGATCACGAGCCCACTGCCCTGGATGTGATTGTTATTGTGATGATTTTTACATTTTATACACTTTTTTACTTTTTATTACAGTTTACAACATTATTATGCACTTTATTTAAAAAAAAAATTACCGCTGGGAAATTCTGTCGTCTAATCGTATTTTTAATAGTTACATTTTCGATCTGTTCATAGTTGGATTTAACATAAGGTGTTGAGATAATGAATCTTTTTATGTCATGCATGATCATGTGCTTATCAATATAGTAAAAGATCCAAACTTGTTTTATAAAAAATATATTTATTAACAATCCAAAATTCCATAACACTAAACATAAATTAAATATTATACATCATATGACTAGTACTTTCTTCGCTTTGCGCTCGACTTTCTACGCGAGTTTTTTCTCTTCTTTGGAGGCGCGTTTTTACGTGCAGCCGCCACGCAAATGTTCCACAAGTCCTGATTCGAAAATGACGGCTTGGCGAGGATCAGCTCGCAACAATCCCTTGGCACCGAGTAATGTATCAAATCCCAGAAAGGATCAATGGTCCAGCGCCGGAAAAAACGTTTCGCCAGTTTCTCGCACACATGTTTGCTGCAGGCCCTGTAATACTTC